ATATATATATATATATATATATATATATATATATATATATATATATATATGAAGAGTTAAGATTCAAAAGCCTCTAAGTACGTCTGACATTTTTCTTTAAAATTACCATTTCTTTCTGGCTATGTATAGGTTTCTATGTAAGTACTGGTACTTCTAAATGGAATTTAGTGCATTTGAAGTGAAAGTACTTGATGAACATATACGATGTGTGGAGAGCATTCACTCAGTATCGTTATCTCATTTCTGACCAAGATGGCTTTTAGAGGCTTTTGCATTGGAACTCTTCATATATATTTGGAGAAAATTTAACCTACAGTACTGTTTTTCAGCTAATTCAGGGGACCTCAGAGAAAACTTGTCTGAATAGAAATATGTGCTATTGTGATTTTTTTAACATTTAAAAAAAAAAAATTAATACACAGTGCTAGTCTTTTCTTAAAAATTCCATGAAATTTATGGTAAAAAGCTGGCAGCTGTTGTTGCGGTTACGGTTGCAACATTTTAGGTTTTATGGACTAAACTTTGATTTACAGTAAAAAAAAAAAAAAGAAAAAACACATGACACTAAAATGATGTATAATAAACAAAATCCCAATGTATAATGTACATTTGACTTCTTTTCCACTTTTCCAAACTGTAAATTTTACAGTAATTTACAGTAAAATGACATGAAATGTCATGTTAGATTTATTCTAGTTTTATTTATCACTGTACATAGTAAGGGAAATTATTGTCATCTAGTTAGCAAGTGTTTACTGTAGCATTTTCAATTTTTTTTCAATGTTTTACAGTGTTCATTTATTTTGACCGTAATTACACAACATAACTAAAGCTAAACATTTTTTAAATGAATTATGCCAAGACTTTTTTTGCCAGCTTTTTGAGTAAAATAGCAGTACTGCTGACATCCCATGCTAAAAATAATTAAGAGAGACTGCTTATTTATTTACTTGTTTTTATTACTTTTATTACTTGTTTGTAATAATGTTATAATACAATTCCTTATTCTACATCCAGACAACAGACACTCCCACCTCAGTAAAATTGAGACATCCCTATTCTGTTCGATTCAGTAAATGAAATGACAGACATTATGCATAAAAATAGTAACTCTGATGCCATATACAGTATGAAACAAATCCCATCCAAACAGTGTGTTAGGCTATGCATTTTGCTGGTCCCCATGTGTCAGTTCATTTTCTCTCTATTTCAAAATCGTTCTTGCTTCTTTTGACTGTGGGGCAAGGTGAGAGATGGCACAGGGGCAGATTTAGCTGAGTAGTGTTTGGGTGTATGAGGAAGGGGACGGGTCTTTTTCCAGTTGCTGAGCACAATCTTGACCTCCAGCTATGCTCTGAAGTGCGGCTAATTTAATCCCTTGACACACAGCAGTCTGAATCTGCCCTGCTCAAAGCTCAACTGAGCTTAGCGGTCTTAAGAAGCTAACAAAGACAGCTGTGGTCAAAAGCTGCTTCACCAGCAGTGCCACAGGTACATGGGGATACTGTAAGAAGAGCTGGAATTGGAGATGCAACGATGATAGTGAGATCACAAAATGATGTTGTTTAGTATGTTCAGTGAAGAAGATTCTTGGGTTAAAAAAACATACTTAACATTGACCTAACAAGGTGATACTTCATGACATTGCTAATATTTTGGGAGCAGATTACAGTATCAACCTCATACCACACTGTAAAATGTGGCAATGTGCAATTGTTACTAGAAAGAACTGTTTCTACCTGATCCTACCATAAGACTTAGTTTTGTTGGTGTAACAACAAAATAGAACCTAAAACTATTGAAGTGATTTTGAGAGAGAAAAACACCATTACGGCTTAGGATGACAGTCACAAGACTGTGTGTACTAGTCGTCATGCTTGTTAGTTTCTGCTTGACTACTGTGATATCGCATTTAGCCTGTGGCCTGTTGTAAAGCAGACGTCACAAAGAATACTTCGTCTGCTGCGTTTCCGTGGCAACTGGGCAGAAATGTACATGGCTCGTCCCCTTATCGCCAGACGACACTCCTATTCCTGCCCCAGGACAAACCTCCCAAATTATCATATCAATATAGATCCACACACACACACACACACACACACACACACACACGTTTGTAACAGCGCCCATGACTACAGTTTTTTTAATCTATTGCTAAAATCATGCTGCAATTACTACACATACTTCATTAAATATATTCACATTGACCTCTATTTGTATTCTTACTGATAGGACAGCAAGAGGACATTAAATTGATTAAAAGTGACATTAAAGACATTTATAATGTTACAAAATGTCTCTATTTCAAATGAATGCTGTTCTTTCTATTTGTCAAAGAATCATCAAAATGTATCACAGTTTCAACAAAAAAATATTTAGCAGCACAGCTGTTTTCAACACTGATTGTGTTGAATAAAAATGATAAAGAAATGTTTCTTGAGCAGCAAATCAGCATATTAGAATGATTTTTTAAGGATCTCCATGTGACACTGAAGACTGAAGTAATGATAATGTAAAATAAAAATCATTTAAAAAAATTTATAAAAATAGAAAACTGTTATTTTTAAATTGCAATAATATTTCATAATTGTCACGGTTCTGCTGGTGTGCCCTAGTTGGCCACCAGATGTCACTGTGTTTTGTTGAGCACATGGCTTGTTGTTTGTTGTTGGTGCCATGTGCTCTCCTGTCTATTGTCTGACCCGCCCTTCTTGTTATCTCATTATTGTTTTATTTACTCCACCTGTGTCTCCCTCGTTACCCTCCTCATTTGTCTCCCTAATTATTCTCCTTGTGTCTGCAGTTCTGTGCTGGTTCGTTGTTTAATGTATTATGTCTGGGTGTCATTGTTGTATGTGTAGTGTTGCCCTGCATTGCCGTGCTGTGTTGTGCTGTGCCCTGTCCTGGCCTGCCTGCCTGTTTTTCCCCTTTGGGGTATTTTTTGTCAATTTTTAGTTTTTTCCCCATTATTAAATGCCCATTTCATCCTGCATTTGAGTCCTCGCTTCATCTCTTTTCCAGCCCTGACAGAACGAACCAGCCCAGAACTCAGCAGATGAAGGGCTCACTCCAGCTACCAGCCTTCACTACCAGCAGCCCCCTCTATCAATGTATGCTTCAAGTGGAGGCCTTGAGTTCCCTAAAGCAATGGGGGACTGATTTGAGGGAATTCGCCAGGGAGTTTTGGAGTGCTGCGGAGGGGCTCAAGGACCTGTTTACCTATGCCCTTGATAAGCCCATCAGTACCTGGAGGACGTTTGGCAAGGAACACCTGGCATTTGTGGACTTTCTAGGCAGTCAGAGGTGTCTTTTCCCGTCATGGCTGCCATTCCAGAGTTTTGTCCTGTCATGGCCGCCACTCCAGAGTCTCGTTCCGTCATGGCCGCCACTCCAGAGTCTCGTCCCGTCATGGCAGCCACTCCAGAATTTCGGTCCGTCATGGCTGCCTTTCCAGAGCCTCTCGACAAAATGTCTGCTTGTTCAGTGGTCCTGCAGGACCCGAATCCGGTGGTCCCTAGTCTGGTGGTCCTGGAGGACCTGACTCAGATGTTTCTTAGTTCAGTAGTTTTGGAGGTCCCTGAGCTACCCACCCCAGAACAGCCTGCCACAGAACAGCCCATTCTCACGGCTGCTGCCACGAAGGCCGTCACTGAGCAGTCCACTCCAGAGCCTGCCCCAGTCCAGGAGCTCTCAGAGTCCAATCAAGAACCGGCTCCAGTCCAGGAGCCTTCAGAATCCACTCCAAAGTCTGCTCCAGCCCAGGAGCTCTCAGAATCCGCTCAAGAATCAGCTCCAGTCCAGTAGCCTTCAGAGTCCACTCCAGAGCCTTCTCCGGCCCGTGGATCTGCTCAGCCATGGTGGTCAGGAGCTCTGCCTGCGCTGCTGTGGTGGTCTGCAGTGCCACTGTGGTGGTCTTCAGCCCCACCTGCACCAATGTGTTGGTCTCCAGCTCCACCTGATCCACCATGGTGGCCCTCTCTCCCATCTGCTTTGCTGTGGTGGTCATCTGCTCCACCATGGGGATTTTCAGTAATGCCTGCTCGGCTGTGGTGGACTTCAGCTCCACCCTTGAGGGCTTCAGCTCCACAGGTTCCGCCACACGGGCCCTGTCCTGGCCTGCCTACCTGTTTTTCCCTCTTGGGGTAGTTTTTGTTTTGTTTTTTCCCATTAAAAATTTCATCCTGCATTTGAGTCATCACTTCATCTCTCTTCCAGTTCCCTGACAATAATATTACTGTTTTACTGCATTTTTGATCATATAAATGCAACCTTGGTGAGCATAAGAGACAAAAAACATTAAAAAACGTACAGCTTCTAAATTTTGAACGATAGTGTATGAGCAATGTACTGAACCTAAAAATGACACATTTACTGCTTGTACATTGAACACATACTTACACAAAGTGCACATTCACAGCTCACCTTGTGTCTTTGTTCTTTTGCAGTGTTCATATCCTGTCTGGGAAGACTTCAGTGCGAAGGCCACCAAGCTGCACTCTCAACTCCGGTAAGTTCATTCTCTGGCTCACGTCCGCACCTGTCATGTGAGGAAGGTTTTATTGAATGCTGAGAAAAGAAAATTGTCATCAATTTATTCCATTGGTTTTGTGCGTTTCAGAACCACGGTTTTAGCAGCTGTGGCATTTCTGGATGCCTTTCAGAAGGTGGCGGATATGGCAACCAACACAAGAGGTAGGCATGATCAGGGATGTGTGAGAGCGTGTGTTTGTGTGTGTGATTGAGGGTGTGCGCTTTCTGTCCAGCATGCAGTGATATGTATATCCCATTATGAGGGTAATGCATAGGATAAAACACTACTGGAGAGAGAAAGATAACTGTAGGGATGCACCGATACCACTTTTTCCAGAACAAGTAAGATACAATACTTTTATTTTTGGTACTTGCCGATACTGATACCTGTATTTTCAAAACATTTGTAATTTTTTGAAAATATTGTCACAGAAACCTAGCACATGAAAAAGCACATTTCACACAGGCTACTAGTTTCACTTTCACTTTAAATAAATATGTTGTTTATAGTGAATGCCATTATAAATTTAGTTTGTTTTGTATTCACGATTTCATTTTAATCCAAATGATGTGTGTGCTAAGTGAGCGAAGAGCAATCAAGATCATGCAACACAAGTGCGCACACTCTCCCTCGCTCTATCTTTCTCTCTCCTTACTGTCAAGTAACTTTAGTAATTGTTTCTTATTTGCTTTTGCTTTTTGACATTTCCACTCAGCGTGCTTTGCTTATCAGCTCGTGCACATCAGCTACAGGCATGAATATTGAATTTTTAACATTATATTTATATAATTAAATGCTTGTACTTCATAGACATCTCTGTTACTTTATTAATCTCTGATAACTCCATTCTACTCTCTGTTGTTCTGTTGTCGGTGTTACGTTTGGCACAGCACTGTTGACACGTTGTGTGGTATCAGAGCATTTTAATGAGTATGAGTACGAGTACATGAGCGCGTTGTCAGGTCCGATAATGAGTGTCCAAAATCAAGGATTATAGAAGGTACAGAGCCAGACCCTCTAGATTTAATGCTCTCATCTTGCAAACAATGTTTTTAAGAATGTCTTTGTGTTAATGTCCATATTCATGTGCATGTAAGACAAATGTCTAACTTATTTTTATGAACTGGTTAGATGTTATTAGCAAATAATTAAACATAACTACATTATTCATCTCTGGTGAGTTTTGAACAGTCTGTTCACATGGCAGAAATAAGCGGATGTTATGAATCCTTGACAATAATGGATAAATGAGAGGGAACAAAGACGTGCCTCATAGCTGTAGAGAGGCTTGCTGGGTGTTTTTGGTTATTTATGGCATGGTGCTTTAGTAATGATTTGACAGAGCCAAGTTCTTCAAGGATAATCGACTGATGGAAATAATGTTGTTTGGAAATAAACCACCAGTCTCATTATGATTATATTACTGTATTGGACTTTTTTCTCTTCATATGGGGATTTGTATTTTTTTTTTATTTCATCTCATTTTGTGGCCTGCATGCCTGAGGTAAAGAGTGTGTTTGAAGGAGTATGATGATCTGCATTATTATGGGTTCGTGTGGGCATGTTGGGCTTTTAATGAGCTGACAGAACTGGGAGCCTTCCTCTGTGCCTTGTAAATGCAGTGAGGATCTCATCCAACCCCAATTGTGACTCATAGGTGGCTATTTCAGATGGTGGTTTGGGGGTACATAAAGCATAAGGGAAGCTTGAAGAGTGAGTGAGAACAATTAAAGAAAGCAACATTAAAAAGTCACAAGGCTATAAGAAAGTGAGACAGCATAATTTATTACAACAATTATTATTCACTCCACCTTGTAGCTGTAGAGTGTGACCTACATTTTTTACATTTATTTTATTTTACTTTTTTACTTTTTACTTTTTAAAATTTTTACTTTTTATTTTAATTTATTAAAAAATTTATTTTATGTTATTCATGTGTGCAGCCATGACATATTTGATACTGCTTTGGAATGTGTTATTCATTATATTTCAGTTATTGTGACAACCAAGTTTCTCAATACAAATCAATACAATTATGTAAGTTAAAATTATTTTTCATTTTATTTATTTACTTTTAATTATTATTGGTATTAATGACAATTATTCAACGTAGAGTTGTGTCCTTAAAGAACAAAACATAGACTGTAGTTGCTTTGGACAAATAAATGTCTTTTTGTCTCATGCAGTGTTCAAAATTGTCCATTGTTCTCTCTGTGTGAATTCAATTTATACACTGCAAAATTTTTGCAGTGTTCTCTTTTTGATCTATTCTCAATTCTATTCTCAATCAGTCTATTATTTTCCAATGATAATACATTATTAAAAAATGCATCTTGAATATAAATTTAATTTGTTGTTATTCCAATTACACATTTTCGACTAATTTTAACTTAATTTTAACTTAATTTTATATTTCATCATAGAAGGGGATTAGCACAAAGTGGAGTAGATAAAGGTAGAGTAGATAACCTGGGGCTTGAGCTCGTGGCAGGTCAGGGCTCTTAAGCACAGGTCTCTCTGGGGGTAGGAGGGGTCACATACTGCTCAGTGATCATGTGACCTGATTAATGTGATTTTGCTGAATGCCAAAGGGAGGGTGGACACCAAGGTCTGACACACCTCACAGATGTGCCCTGGAACAACTTTAAAGAGTGAGAGAGAGTGGCAAGCAGACATAGTCTATGGATCAAACAATGTGTGGACCACAAGGCTGCTGGAAGACAAAATTGAGAGTTGTGGATAATGTAAGACAGAAGAGAAACAAAAGGTGTGAATATGATAGTATGCTTGGGGTGCTGTGTAACATGATAGAAGTCAAGTGAACTCTGATAGGATGATGTATCATAATGTATTTAATGCATAAATTTTTTTGGAAACTCCCATTCTAGCAGGGCTGTCATCAGACAACTGGGAATGTTGTGGGTAAAGGATCCCACTATGGTTCTAATCCTAGTGTATCTAAAAAAAAAGTGTATCTCATTGCCAAAACCTAGGCTCATTGGAAAAACATGCCTCTTCCTACATTTTTGCAAAACTTGAAAATGCATCTATATATACTGTATAGTTTATATAATCCACTTCAGTTTACAGGTGAAATGAACACTAGTGTCAGTAAAACACCAATAACTTTTATTCCTTTTCACACAATTACGATTACCATAGTGGATGATTTGTAAACGTACATATTTTGATGTTTGCATCACATAACCAGCTCCATATGTACTGCTTTTCTAATGTAATCTTGTTCAGTAGCTCACCTGGGACAAGTTTTGTACAAGGTTTTGTAATGTGGAGTCCTGTGAAACAGAAGTCATGATAAACAAACTCGAAGACTTAAAATAGCTAAAATGGCATGGTTAATTTTTTATCTTGTGTGGTTTTGTTAAGACTGTTGGTTAGGTTTAGGGTCAGGTTTACTGCAGGTGATATGTCATTTTCAAAAAGTGAAGGAGCATTAACTTTTTAGTGCCACTCACTGGGCATTTAATTTGCAAACTGCTGTGATATGTACAACTACCAATATAACAAAACATAGGCAGATTCACCTTCATCAGTTTTGGATAAAACATAACATACTTTTACCGCCACTCACTGGATATTTCACTTTGAAATTGTTGCGAAACAAGCAAGAAGCAATGTAATATTTTTTATAAATGTCACCACAGGCACATTTCTCCAATGATCATGGGTTGCATATTTATGTGTAGCTGGTAAGGTTTATGTTTGGGAGACAAGTTTCACCCCCTCCCCATCACAGCACACAGACTGCCACGAAGCAAAGAGGAGGGGACGGCAGTGAACCGCAGTGAAACGGAAGCAAACACACAAACACACTCCAGGCCTTTATCCTCTCCATGGGGGTCCACCACTATAGTGAGGGAGGGAACTGATGCTTCCTGCTAGTAACTGCCTATAATCTGCTTCTCATTTACTGTTCTTTACTGCTCTTCATCCTTAAGTTTATGCTCTTTCTCCTTTCCTACCATGATTGGGTCTAGCTAGCTCTCTTCATCACTATCATTATTTCTTGTGTTCTTACATTGGCAGTAGATTTACTTAAAGAGACAGTTCACCTAGAAATGAAAATTCTGTCATAATTTAAGGATGGAATATACTTGTCACACACACACACACTGGGAGCGTAGGAACGAGCGAGGAGACGAGGAATAAAGTAAATCAGAAAGGTTTTAATGAAGGCACGCAGGATCACAGGACGGTAGACATCAGGCAAACCAAAATGACACTTAACAGCAGACAGAGAACTACACTTTAACACTTTAAATACATAGCCACCAATGGGACACACCTGGGAGCAAATGAACTAATTAATCAAAACACAGCTGGAGACGAATACACACAATGAGGACAGGAACAGGAAGGACCAAATAAGGGCAAGGAAGGCACATTAGGAGCAAAACACACACAAAACACAGACCAGAGTCTGACATGGGGGTGGGCGCTCTGGAGGCCTCTAGGAGTAGGGTTACCAGATGGAAGGCCTCCAGGGTGGCGCCCGTTCCGGGATCCGTGGCAAATCTGGCAATTCGGGGCACCATGGAGGATCAGGGGACTCAAGAGGCCATGGCAAAGCAGCCTCCAAGGCCGTGGCCGTGGCCCCAGCCCCTGCCCCTGCCCCGGCCTCTACGGCTGGAGCCCTACTGCCCCCCCCTCCAAAAAAAATACTTGGGGAAGATTTCGGGCTCCGAGGCCCTCCGTGGGCCATAACCGGGGACTGGAGCCCTCCCTGGTCTTAACTGGAGATTTGGAGCCCTCCCTGGGCTTAAAGATCTGGGGAACTGGATCCACTGGAACTGGGAACGGCACTCCTGGCTGAAATTGGGGAACTGGATCCACTGGAACTGGGAACGGCACTCCTGGCCGTGACTAAGGAACGGGATCCTCTGGAACTGGGAACGGCACTCCTGGCCGAAATTGGGGAACTGGATCCACTGGAACTGGGAACGGCACTCCTGGCCGAAACTGGGGAACTGGATCCCTTGGAACTGGGAACGGCACTCCTGGCCGTGACTAAGGAACGGGATCCTCTGGAACTGGGAACGGCACTCCTGGCTGTGACTAAGGAACTGGATCCTCTGGAACTAGGAATGGCACTCCTGGCCGTTACTGGGGCTGGAGCCGACACTGGAGCGAACTCCGGGGC